AAAATGATACCCTATCCTAGACAAAATGTCAAAAAATGATACCCTACCCCAGACCCAAAAGCCGAAAAACCATACCCTATAGGGCGGCACATACCCGTAATGCAAATATAGGGGAGTACCCCCCACCCCCCCGGGTTTCTTTATTTCACGACATTACTTTCTCCGGTTCTGTCTGTCTGTCACTATCTGCTTACCAACCGCACTTTACATAATCTCGGCCATGTTGATGGTATTAAACCAAAAGTTGTCATACGCTGCATTTGTTTTAACAAAATACCTCAGTCCTGTATATGTTAAGGATTCTCATACCTCGGCAATACCAGTCAAACCTGTTTCTGGTGTAAAACCAAGTCGGTTCACAATCAAAAATATAAAACAGTAGTATTGCCGAGAAAATGAGATCATTTGACCAAAGGTCACAATATATATTACTCATGCTTATACATGATTGGTTCGTGGCGTTATCGTTAAAAAAATCAAGGAAATCCATCTTCTGTCGCTAAAACGCGACTTGTGCGAAGAAATCGAGTCAAAGGTGATATGAAAATCGTGTTCTACCTCGGGTACAATTCGACGCACGGGAATTCTAACACGTCTGTTGTAATTTTATTGGTTTGATGCAAGCAGAAGATCTCTTACGAATCGACTATCAATGGACACATTCTGGATGTGGAAAACATGATTTGATGCTTCGTAACAGGTCTTTTGAAACACCTTTGGTTTTCTAGTTACTTATTTCGTGCAGATTCAGCGAGCTGACATTATTGTGGCTGTCAAAAAGAAGACATAGCCCAACCATAGTTACTTAGTGGCAATATCTTTTCATTTATTCATGAAAAAAAAACTTCAAACGTAAGTGTTTTGAAAATAATATTTCAAATTCATGGTATAATCCAACCATATGTAGTTATTCATCAGTTATTTTTCAGTTATTTTTCCCTAATAAATTTTTAAAATGTTGTTCAAAATCATGATGCTTTTTTCGAAACAAAAATAACCTCGAATTTCAGTTCTTAAAGTTTTCATTTTCTTCCCTTTGCAAAGTAAAATATTTAGTCGATAGATGTAGTTTATCATAAAAAGTATTGTCTACTTGTATATATATTGTGGCTATAAATCATTAAGGCAAAATTGCAGACCTGTGAATGAGCGGTACGCATTTCCGCAAGCCACAGTCATATTTTATACCGTGGCAAGGAACCCATTGAGATGTCATGTTTTTGTGGCCTTAAAGCTTGGCTGTTAGAATAATAGAAACATTTTGCGGGGTTTTTTTCATTAGAAAGCCTTTTCAAGGTCATGGTGTTGAGTCACGTGATACCAAAAGGCGTGGTCACGTGATAATAATAATAATAATAACAGTACTTGTATAGCGCATTCTGCTACCTCAATGCGCTGTGGAGATTAAACGATACTAAAAGGCGGGTCTGAAGTGTCTTTAAGCGTGATTATTCTGAAACAATAGATAAGCAACTTTGTAAATAAGAATATTAATATGATTCTTATCTTTAAAAAAACTTAGAGCACTAGGTCGTATTTATCCGGAAGCCATATTAGTGTCAAACCTTTGTAGCCATCATTCGACAATTTCTCAAGGACTTTTCCCCAGATTTACTAAATACCTTATGGGAATAAGCACAAAATCATGATAATATTAATAAAAACTTCCATAGTTCCTGAAATTTTAGACTAAATCTTAGAGCTTTAATTGAAACAGTTTTGAAAAGCCATTTCAGTGCGATGACTAACCACGTGCTTAAAACACACTTAAGTTTCACAATTCCTGTTTATTGTTTAAACTAAAAATGACACTCCTTTAGCTTCTATTTCCGCTCTGATTTAATACACCTATTCTACGATGATAAATGGTTGGATGTCATTTTTCAGTTCACGTTGCCCGGAGGGATGTTGCTGCAGATTCTATTTCATTGATGCCGGATAGTTTATGGACTTAAGACTATCTTATCTTATCTTACTCACATAATTTACTGATTTCGATGTTCGTTAGCTGAAAAAATATTCTTCATATTTTTCTTACCATTCATTTCGTTTTCTTTCTGTCTTTCCTTCCTTCCTTCCTTTTTTTTTTTCTT